TTTTTTTTTTTTTTGTTTCTGTCTTTCTTTGTTTTTACACCGCTGAACAGCGGGACACGGCGAGCGCGGAAAATGTCCGCCGACTATATTATATTTTATAGGATATACACAGCGTTATACTGGTACGTTAATTATAAAAATTTGTCACGGTTATTGGAAATCCGCACACGCGGCGGGCGAGAGAGAGAGAGAGACAGCGAGTGAGACTGCAGCGGAGAGAGACTCGACGCGCGAAAAAACGCTCTGTGGGAGGGGCGGAACGAATCGCACGGTTTTTTTTTTTTTTTTTCATATAATAATTTATAAAACACGCATAATTGTATTACATAATTGCTATACATTGTATATTATTATTAGGGAGCGGATTTCATTGGAAATTTAGTTTTTTTCGTATGTTTAGCACATTCTCTGTACGGAGTAGCTGAAGAAATACGTACGCATTCACCAAAAATAAATGCATTAATATCAAACGTAAAAAAGATTTTTTTTTTTTTTTTTTTTTTATAAAATGCCCATCTCGAGTAAAACTAAAATTCGAAGAAATGGATACCAATTCTAAATAGATGGGGTACATGCGGTTGTCGGCGGCTCTATACTAATATCGAAATTATCGAATGGTTAAATCCGTTTTGATTTCGCTGTTGCAATTGAAAATGCACAAAAACTGATGAACAATACTAATTTGGAATTGAAATTGGCTTTTATCAAAGCAGACTATGGAAATTTAACAAAATATATTACTACATTAGAACACCTGGATTGTCGGCTGACGCAATTAATGTTATTGTTCAAGTACAAAATTAATTCGAAACGGATAAGAATGAATCCATTAAAAATAAAATTACATGCTAATAATATTGAAAAAATATGGGATTCTGAACAATAATAAATAATCTTAAAGGAAATACAACTTTTCGAGATTTTGCCATTTCTGAAGAAATACTACTAATGACCAAAAAAACACATATCGATAATCGTCGACAATTAGATAAAAATATTGAACATTTTCCCAGTTTTTCACATTTGCTTAGGAAACTCTTGAGAATATCGAAAAGTGACCTCTAGTTTTCTGGTAGAAAATTTGTTTACAGAAAAAAAAAAAATAAATAAACCTTTTTTTTTTGTAAAATCATAAGCTTCTTCGCTCCACTCAGAATCTAAAACCAAGCAAACCGTGTTCGAATTATACATTTATAATTTTCAGGGTAGAAATTAGAAGAAGAAATAGAATATGCATTAATTATTCTATTAAAACATTGTACACATTTTTTTTTCTATATTTAAAATAATTTTTAGAGCATTTATTTAAGGCGTTTTTAACCTTTTCATTTTCTTTTTACAAGTGCATTAAATTGCATTATTTATTATTTTTTTTTTTTTAACGCTTTTATGACATTATTTTTTTTATTATTTTTATTCCACGCGGCCGGGATATAATGTATTATAGGCTGTATACTCTGCATAGACTATTATTATAGTAGAGAGAATATATTATTATCGTGTCGGAATCGTTGAGAAACGGAGAAAAAAAAAAAAAAAAGAAGTATATTCGCGAGATTATAATACACTGTGTACACGGTTATTATTATCGCGGAACGGTATTATAATAATATAATACCTAATCGTGTGTAAAAACCGCGAGATTTTTATTTAAACATTTTTTTTTTTTTTTTCCCCCGAGTGAAAGCGCGACCGCAGTGCACGTTACAGTATTATAGTGTGCGCGGTGCTCGTGGCGGTATATTTACCGCGTTATTATAATATAATATTATTATGTTTACGTCGCGAATTAATTAAAAAAAAAAAAAAAAAAAAACGAATTATAATAATAACAAACGCCTTCGAACGTTGCGCGGCGGTAATGATTGTTTTGTTGTGGGGTAAAAAGAAAACGAAAAAAAAAAATCCCCCGAGCCGTACCCGTGCGCGCCGCGCGAAAATGGGCGTCGACGTTCGCACGAATCGCACGCGTCGCGACGATCGCGCAGCGGGTATCCGTGATCGAGGTTAATAAAAAAAAAAAAAAATTATATCGCGAAATTTATTGCATATATATATATTATCAATGTACAGAGACCGTTGTGTCGTGCGTGTATTCTTCCCATATCGCCCCGACTACCGTTTTGCCGCCGAATACCAAACCGGTTACATTACGATTTCGAATTGCGATATTATTGTTGCAACGCACTTATGCAAAGAACTTCCGGCGCCGCATGGACGTGAAGTAAAATATTATACGAATTCAGTATTATCGAAAATACAAAAAAAAAAACTATTGACAAAATAACATATAGGCAATCAACGGTTAGACGGATGTCCAGAAGGAATTTTCTTATTATATTTTCATAATTTAATTTCGGTACATTTTTCCGATTTTAGCGCAGCGACCGTTTTCCGAAAAATTTACCGGTGACCCGCGCAAAAACGACAACCGCCGCGAGTTGTTTTCGCGTGAGCCATAGCGGCACGGAGTCACGAGTAGGGGTGAACTTCAAGCAACGTACGCCGCAGGCAAGTATGAACAGAATAAAAAACGCTGTCGGCGAAATGGGAGTCGTGGAATCAACACTGTCACGCGGTAGACGTACGTGACCGCGGTTATTGTTATCTTGTTGTGTAGCGGGTACCCGACGATCACGCACGGGACACTCACTCGCGCGGACGAATGGGCCGTTTTCGGAGTCCCGTCTATAATATAATATAAGTCTAAAAAGTGATGAGAGGGGAGGGGGGGGGGTGCCGACTTCGCGGACGTTGTTTACTCGGTTGTTTCTCGACAGCAGAAATCGCGCGGTTATGATTGCAGTTCATGAATTTGTCGCGCTGAAATCAACCGCGTTCCCTCCTCCCCCCCCCACCACCGTCGCCATTTATATAAATGATGTTGTTTCGCGTTTATACGTCAACGGAAATGACGTGTTTTCACGCCGTAAATGGCATTTATCACGAGGGCTATTTTACAACTATAAAACTATACACCTTTTATACCATCGACTCGGCTTGGCTTGGTCTTTTTGATGGGGGCATGACTGGGGGTACGACTAGACCGTAAAAGAAATATAACATGCAAAACTGCAGCGGCCTTGGCTACGGGTACCTGCCCGGTCGTGGCAGTGGGGGGGGGATAGGGGGGTAATCGTTCGTCGTGTTTAATCGCGCGCTGCGGTCCGAGAAAATAATACGTCGGGGTTTTTTTTTTCCGCTATAATTATGCAGCCCGAACGCTGCAGCATGCAATAATAATGTGAACGGCGTTCACGTGTAATATATATTTTGACGTGTTAATAAACGTGTAATTTTGTGTTGCAGCAAACCCAACGATCCCGCGTAGTCGTCGTCGAGACAATCAAATTATAAGATAAAATATATACTTAATCATAATGATATAATTAGGTATATAATTAAATAAAAATACTTACACGAAGAGTAAAAAATCGTAATGTTCTACTAATATTATGTTCCGTATACTTTTCCGTTTTTCTCCTTTTATCGGTTTTTCACATTTGCTAAGAAAACTCCTGAGAAAAACGAAAATTTACCTCCTTAACTTTAAGCAGATTTAAGTGACTCCGCGGATCGATTTCCTTTCAGAAAAAGTCCTACGCTCAAATAACTGACGAGGATTTATTGTAGAAAATTTATCCACAAGAAACAAAAAAATTATCTTTGCAAAACCATAAGCTTCTTCGCAACACTCAGAATCTAAAAATGTTTACTGATCCGCGTATGTGATTACTATCAAACTGTGATCCGGTCACTTAAAATATTTTGTTCTTTTATACTCATCGTGTAATAACGGCATCGTAATTTTTTTACACGGCGAAAACAATTATGTTGTCGCTGTTAAATAGTATGTGGCCATTTTATCGTACAACGCGGAAAATGTATTGGGTAAAACTTCAGGGAAAATAAAAAATATGGCTTTTCTAAAGTGGTAACCCCCGTGAGATTTTCATTCAAAAAAGTGCTATCGTTGTAAATCGGAGCAAAATTTCCAGTAGAAAAGTTGTTCACAGATAAAAAAAAAATAATAATAGAAATAATGAACGTCATTGTAAAACCAATACACTCATCGCTCCACACTCAGAATCTAAATTGTATATTATATAAACGTTAAAAAAAAACGTTATAAAAACGATTCGCACGGGATAAAATACCCATTACGTTGATTTCTCTCTAAATAAATAAACGGAATTGGAAGAAAAAAAAAAAAACACAACACCCGCACAACGAAATAAACATAATATAATATGTATTGAATGGAAAAGCTCATTGGCCCGCCGGTTTATATGGGTGAAAAAATTTAGAAATCGATAAAAACCGTATACATACCTACGCTTCGTTTATAACAGTATATTATAGGCAATAATGATAATAATAATAATAATAATACGACCCGCACGATATTGTCGAACGCGCATGAAAATATTACGCCGTTATTAATATAATACGTTTTTTTTTTTTTCCGTATAATGTACGCGTTAGCGAGGCGAGGAAATTTTAACGCTGCTAAAAACCAACAGCCGATAACAGAACCCTATTACAATATTATTGCATACGTGGCTAAAACAATACTAAACGGGAACGTATTTAATATTTTCGTTATCGTCGCGCGCCGAAACAAAAACTGAAAATGCGTCAAGATATTTTTGTCAAAATGATTATATTTTTGTAAATTCAATATCGTAATCGAAAATATAGGTAATGTGTTATAATTTTATGCATGTTGCTTTTGTATGGGAAAAAAAAAAAGAAAGAAAAAGGGAGTGCGGACGGTGGCTTTGCCACCACGACTCGTTTTTTAATTTATTTTCATATCCTCTCCATCCCCCCCCCCGAATAAAAAATTCTGAGAAAGCCTCTGAGTCAACAACACCAATATAATTCTCGGTAAACTCGTTATTTTTTTTTCTTCAATACCGAGCGTAGAAAATCTTTAAAATCGCAAAAAAAAAATACGAGCGAACGGACTACGCGTATTTTATTAAGGGGGGTTTTTTTTTTTCCACACACGCGGACGTTACGGACGCGACGCGCGTATTCTAATTGGGTGTCCGACAGTGAAAAACTGCGGGAAAAATATACGACATTCGGGCATATTGTACAAATTGCGCGCTATCACAGCGCGTCGCATGACCATGACATTATATAATTGCGTGTAATCGCTCTTTGGTAACCATATGGTAACCGCACGTAATGTTATAATGTCGTGTGTGTGTGTGTGTGTGTGTGTGTGTGTGTGTCCGCGACGACGAACACGCGCTGCGCGTTTTCACGGTTCGCCGGCGTTTCGGCCGTCGAAACCCCTCGAAAAACGCCCCCCCCCCCCGAAACAAAAACAAACCGCTTATTAATATTTTTTATCCGGTATTAATCAGAAAAAAAAAAAAAAAAACATGGTTAGTTAATTAATTTGCGCAGGAAGGTGTAAAAAAAAAATGTTTGGTAAATCTACCGGAAAAGTTGAAAATTTTGGACGGTATTATTCATGTTATGGCGTCAGTGCGTCACAATTGAGACGACAATTGACTGCTGAGACTACTAGCCCCCATCGAGCTATTAATATAAATTGTTGGCGAATACGTACACGTAAATGTATAAAAGGAACGCCGTGCCATGTGCAAGTGACGACTATAATACAGTACACGCGCTCTCCCACTGTCGGGCGTCCCTATTTCCCGATAGGTTAGGTTAGGCTTCATTTGCTTTGAAATCTCCTCATCCGCCCAAACCGGAAAAAAAAAAATTCGCCGTGCAGAACGCACACTTACTTACTAGCTGTCTTTAGCCGACACCAGTCAATAAGCGGTCAATACTAAAAAGTAATAGCGCGGATAACTAAAGATAAAAAAAGCTAAAGAAATTATTTTCTATGAAATACCATTCCGAGTAAGCTAAAAAAGACGTCCTAGGATAATTGGGGACAAGTGCAACGACTGTTATTTAGGTAATTTAAATGTATATCTGTTAGCAACGATTAACCATTCCAAACGAAAAAACGATTCTGAGCGGAGTCCAGTTAATAATGTTTTATCAACAATATATACGCCATATTATGGTAAAATAATTAAATAAGCATTTTATATTATCTTTAATAATAACGTACCGATTTTCTCGTTTTTCTTAAGTTTTTCCCAGTTTTCCCATATTTTTTCCTGGTTTATCACATTTGCTGGGAAAACTCCTACGGAAATCGAAAAATTGACTCGTTTAATGTACTTTCCCTGTCAAATTTCCTTTTAGAAACATTGCTATCATTATAAATTGGAGCGAAATTGGTAGTTGTCATTAAAACATTACTTTAGTACGCTATTTAATAAAATTATGAAGTAGTACAATAATATAATATCTATGATCGTACAATTTTTTATTCTCCGCATACGTAATACATACAGCAGCGGTTTACGAAAACGAAATTGTCGGGCGCGAACATTTTATAAGTTTGCCCTCTCCCTCCCCCTATCCGGCGTCCGTAAGACTAATATTAATACGTAATATTGTCTCGTTAAAAACGAAAAAACTCGTTGAAATTTCTAGTAAATAATAAAAAAAAAAACCCGTCTCCTCTCCTTCCACACCCAAATGGCGCTCTCGGAATAATCACGCGGTTCGCGGGGTGGCGGTGAGGGGGGGTCGTGAAAAACCGCAGTAGTAGGTATACATAGTGTGCGTGCGTGTGTGTGTGTGTGTGTGTACGACCGCAATCGTATAGCCAGGGGGGGTTGGGGGGTGGAAAGAGGGATGGTGACGGGGAAAGGTGCACGCGGTTATATATAACAGAGTACTACCGTCCCTACGCACTCCGCGCGCGGTTTCTTCGAGGGTCATTGGAACGGGGCACGCGATCGTTGACGGGGCGTGTAACCGCGGTCGTAGTACTATTATAATATTATCGCGTACACGAAATTAATTAAGTCTCACCGGGGGGCCCCGCGCGTAGGTATTACAGAGCGGGGCGACGATAAGTATATAACAGTTTAGTTTATTATACGGCGCGCGTAATATTATAAGTGCGGAAAACCGTGCCGAGGTGTAAAACATACACACACACACACACACACACACACTCGTGTTCCGCCCGGAGAGAGACACGAACCGAACGAACGTCGCGGTCCGGGGGAGAGGGGGGGGGGGCTGATTGGGGGTGCGGTATACTACGCGTATACCTGGGTACGTTATCGTGTGTATATATATATATAGAGAGAAAGAAAAAAAAAACAACAACACATATCTATATATATATATATAAGCTTGTAAATCGCGTAGGACCGCGACGACGACGACGACGACGACGACCCCGCAGCGCAATAACGACGACAACAACAATAATAATAATAATAATATCGTGTGTGTGTGTGTGTGTGTGTGTGTGTGTGTGTACGCGTATCAATAAACGAAGGGGGGGCGGGAGAAAACGGAAAACGAAAAAAAAAAAACAAACTATTAACGCGAGGCAGCCACGAAATTTCGGAACGAGTGATTAGACTCCGAGGACTTTGTTATTTCCCGTACGAAACGCGTGGGTGTTTATTTTTTTTTTTTTTATTACACTAATGTACACCGGATATAATAATAATAATAATAATAATAATAACAATATTATTCGTCGGGCGGGCGTGTATTGCGTTACGCGGCCGTTATCGTTATTGAAACGCGCCGAAAGTATCCGGAGCGCGGCGCAACGTTATATTATTATTGCCGTATAGCGGGGTAGTGCTCCGCGTGCCAGGCGCGAGTAAATCACCACGAGTCCGCGTATAATAATATTAATGCGGGGCGGCGAGTATCGCGGGCGCGCGCGCGCGCGCGCGCGTGTATATACGTGTGCGTGTGCGTGTGCGTGTGCGCGCGCGCGCGCGCTCGGGGTGGTGCCGCCGTCACCGAATGAAAAACGCCTTATCAATATCATTATCAACATCATTATTATTATTATCATTATCGTTATTGTTATTGTTATTATACCGCCCGTAACGCGGCGATAATTCAACGACGCGCGGCCAGCGCGACCCGTACCGGCCGCGCGCCTCGCGACTCGGCGGATCCGGCGTCCGGATCACCATGTTTTCGACCCGCGGTTCGCCGACCGTCGGTGTTCGAAGAGAC